TAATTTTTTTTTTTTTTTTTTTTTGCTGCCATTTTAATACTTAATCGTGACAGTGTCCAACCAGAAAGCTCTTGCTACTTTGGCCGCCGTTCACACATAAATTTTATTTCCTTACAGCTCTATTTTCTTAACTTTTTACTATTTTCATTTACTTTACCTACAAATTGAATTCAAAATGTCCAGTATATAGTGTAAATAAAAAAAACTGAGCTGAATTGAATTGAATTGAATTGATGCATAAAGCAATCGGTCGGTCCAGATTGCAGACTGCAGACCAGGTACAACCATACAAATGTTCGTAAAAGATGACCGCGGAAAAGCGAATGCATAACACTAGCTAAGTTATCGGATGACACACACAAAAAATAGTTTTCATTCTCAGTCTGCGTTTTGCACCCAGTCTGCAGCCTGTAGTCTGCACTTTGTACCTGGTCTGCAGTTGCAATCTGCAGTCCGCGTTTTGAATTTGTACTGATCGATAAACCAATCTGTGGCTGCAAAATGCATACTGAAAAAACTGACTGTGAGAAAACACAATCATCAAGTACCTCTGTTTCATCTTCGGTGGCTTCATGTGCAGTTATATTGTATCGTCTGGAAGTTGTGTCTCTGTGCTGAAAAGAAGCTGAAGTGAACGAAGTGTGCACTCGATCTGACACAGTTAAAACACTCGTTAAAATTACCTTAGAAGCCTTTTATTGGAACGTTTTTGGTCCAGGGCTGTTGTAACTCGTTCTCCTAAATTTCCAATACTTCATAAATGCCGAACTTGGGGTGAATATTTTACTATTTCATTCAATAACCTTCCGTCATGTTTTCTTCCCAGCTGTCATTGCGTTGAGGGCGCACGCGAAAAATAAGACTGGGTGCTAGGGCAAAAATTATCCAATCAGATGCTGGAAATGGCCAAACGCCGGGACAGGCCGCGTTTTTTTGGCGGGAAATCACGTTGCCAAAACCTTGCCGGCCTTGCCAAGGTTTGACGAAAGTTTCAAAACGAGTACGTCTATTCAGCCAGTTTGAAGTTTAAAACTTGAGAAGAGACAAAGCTTATTTATGTCTCTTGTTATGTCGACAAACAAGAGTAGAGTAAATTCAACTTCGAGGAGACTCCAACGGGAAGAGCGCAAGAGAAAGCAGGCGAAGACGCAGCGAAGAACAATTATAAAAAGAGCAGGAAAGAGCACTTCGAGAAAAGAGGCAAAGAAGTAGCGAGAAACAAAGAGAAAAGGAGCGAGCAAGGGCGTGAGAAAACAGGCAAAGAAGTAGCGAGGAACAACGAGAAAAAGTGCAAGAAACTACACGACGAGAAAGAGGCAAAGAACAAGCCAGGAGCAAAGTGAAAGAAATCATGAAAGGGCCCGAGAAAATAGGCAGACGAGAAGCGGAGAACAACGAGAAGGAGATCAAGCAAGGGCACGACAAAACATGCAACGAAGCCGGAGCCAAGAACAACGGGAAAGAGAAAATGAACATGATAAATTCAGTGTATGGTGACAGAAAACAGGTACGGTAGGTTATGATTTACAACACAGGTTTACAGTATTACATTAACAGTATAAGCTTATATTATGATAAGTTTGTTATGAAAAAACACTTGAATGCTGCATTTAAACCCACACTCCAAACCTACCCTATCCCACGGCACATACCTATGGAGCCCCTATATGGGAGTACCAATCCCGGAACAGCCCTTCACCTTGAATAAACTTGTTAGCTTGTTGCAGATGTATATAGAATGTTATAGCCAAGCCACAGAATCTGTCAAGATTTTACTGATGCTGCTAGACAGAAAGAACTAGAAAATGTGGTGCCTGTCTCTGTTGCAGATAAAGTGATGGATAAGGGTACAATGCTAAATGAAGCACTACAAATTTTATTACAGTTCTCGTTCCTTAGAAATTAGGCATAACCATGAGTTCATTAGCCCTATTGCAATAGGTCTATAAGAATACGTTTACGGGTCAATAAGTTTCGCCGTATAGCTCAGCTTTATAATTAATATGTGTAAAGTGGTAAATTTCAAATCGAACATTATTGGGTTGCCGCCGTAACATGCTATTAAGTAAATTAGAGTTAGAACTCACTTTATTCTTCAGTCAGGAAGCAGGAGGACATTACTTGAAAACTTTCCCCGGCAATTTCCTCAATAATCATAATTAAATATACAAGAAACTCTCTACAATGAAGTTTTATTTCGGTCTACTTTTTTAAAATAAAATTCCTTTACTTAGATCATGAGTCGTTGAAATCCTCCATTTTGGGGTCAAAGTGCTCGGCATTTACATGAATGTTGATCCTTCAATTTATGATAGATTATGAAAGTTTTGGAGAATAAAATCAAATTCATGCAAATTTTACAGTTTTATTTCCGTTATTACAGTGCATAATAAAGCGCACAAGAGAGGAGGGGAGCTTAAATTTTTTGTTTTTATGTTTCTGCAGCTTTGGAAATGATTGTGTAGTAAAGGGTTATTTTTAATTGAAACTGCTACTAAGCAACCAATGTGAAATCAAAAGCCATAATAATCGCATTTAATTTTTCATGGTATGTTCGTGGATATTTCACAAGATATTTAGCTTGGATTAACAAGTAAGAGCACCTTTATTTAGCTTATGTACAAGTACAGACGTTAGTGATGTTCTGACCTTTAGTTTGTCTTTTCAAAACAACTTATTGAAGTGTTGATAATTAAGTTATCAAGATGTTTGCCTTCATTCTGAAGGAAAACCTGCTACAAACGAGCATGCGGTTGGCTACGTACAGTTGGGAGCTCGGCTTTTCAGAAGGCTTGGCTAAATCTCTATATTAAGAGAAACAGTCACTAATCACACATAATCTTGGCAACGTATTTCTACATTTTTATTGCTATTGCGGTGTTTCAATTTTACATTCAATTTTACATTTGATTCAAAGTAGCCTTAGAATAACTCTAGTGTCCTTTAACTACAACATATTTCATCAAATGCCATATCATTAAATAAAAATAAATCTTAAAGTCATATATCTTAATTTCGCGCTTTTCTTTTACCTTTGGAATTCTCAATCTCTTCATTGAGCTTAGCCTTTTTCTTCAAAATTCTTATGTTAATGGAAACATCCCAAATTAATATTTTTTGTTCCCTTTTTAAATACAATTTACCAATTTTTCATTCTTTGTGACACATTACCCTTACCAAACCAGTTGTAAAATTAATACAAAAGTAAACCAACTTATCAAAATTAGAGAAGGTTTTAGGACTGTGCTTATGATATTACTATTGCAATAGCAACTTTTGAGGAAAAACGTTAATGAAACATATTTAACATAATACATTTCATTCAAGTCTATTCTCAACTGTGCTTCATCAGAACGTCGCGTAGGAGCTAAAGAAGGAACTAAAATGTCCTTGTGAACAGAGATGCACGCTCAAATCAACGCAATTGACATTCAATTAATTAAGAATTATTTTACGAACTTTCTAATATAATCACTAATGGGTTCCTTTTCGTTCAATGATCAAAATCTACGCAGTGTATTACGGTGGAGTTGATATGACAGCTATTAGATTTCCTGCAGCCTATGAATTTGATTGGTCAATTTAAACAGAACCCATCAGTCGTAACGAAAGTCCTGGAGTCACGAATGAAGGTGAGCTATGCATCGCTGTGCAAGAAAGATCTGGAATATATTTTACAGCAAAAAGTCAGTCCGAAATTATTTCAAAATAAATTTATATTTTCACATTCTTTCTGTGTAGTAATCAAGCTTGTCGCTTGAATTTCCAAACTGTATTTTTTCCAATGTCAGCTACATACACTGCACCATCTTGGTCTGAAGTGACGTCATGAGGTTGACCGAAACCCTGCAAAAGAATTCAATGAAATTGAAAAAAATATATATATTTGAGAGGAAACAAAGAAGGGTGTTTCTATGACATACAACCCTGGTCTCAGTGGTTTTCTTTCAGTCGCCCCTAGCAGCTCTAAAGTTTGAAAGAGAGAAAAAGTTCTAGGTGCATAGTGTTGCAATACGTCTTCAATCAAACTAGGATACAATCTTTTAACTCCTACACGTAACGACATTGAGTGATTCACAGAGACAAATTAAATCACATTTTAAAAAGCATCACATGTTACCAATGAAACTCATACAAAGTTGTGTTCACAAAGAGCTTACCAGGCGTGGCTTCCAGCGTTGTATCTCAGTACTGTCGTTTAACCTGAACGTGAAACCCAGCGCTTCAGAGGAAAAAGGACCGTTTACAACATGAAGCACTCCACCTTGCGAAAATAAACACAATATTACGTTATTTATTGAATGTTTGAGCTAAGAGATGACATAAGCAGCTAAAAAAACAAGGAGAACAATTGTATAATCACCTTGTTCAGGGTGGTAGTGAACAGCAAAAACCCGATCCCCAAACTCTTTGATTTCACCGAGAAAAGACCCGTTGACAGAATCAAACACCAACACTCGACTGTTTTCTCTGTCAGCGACAAAAAGATGTCTGTTCTTCTCGTCAAGTGACAGGCTGTGAGGTATCTGGAAAACATCTGGAATAAGGAAGGAAAAAGATTACTTTTGCTTCTGTTTCATCCGTAGCATTACAAGATCACCTTTTCAGATATAAAAGGAAACAAGGAAAAGCAACGAGAACTATTTGGTTCTGAAGGTCCATAGCAATACAATCGTTTTTTTTTATTGACAAACGAACTTGAATTTAACAAATAGAAATAGAATAGAAGGAAAGACACCAAATAAAAAACAGAACATCGCAAAAAAGAACACTTAAGTGGGATATAAGATCGATTTTCAGGCTGTCAACAAAACGATCACTGTCTAATTGACAGTAATAACAATTTCGCACTTGGGATCTCTCTGGAAAAGCACTTATAAATAAGTTTCTCAAACTCGTTAATAATTCATCAAGTTTGAACAAAGAAAATCATGACCGTGACGGTGTTTGGATATTTGATCTTAATTGGCATAGATTTTTGCGATTTATTTCTCCGTTTTCTCCTTAGTTTTAGTTTCGACTGAGAAGATATATCAAATACTTAAGACAGTGTTTGACCACATTTCCAAACACCTCGAAGTACGTCAAACATACTCCGCCACGCGTCGTTTTTTCAGCCCTCTTCTCGGTGTTTGGAAATGTGGTCAGACACGGTCTTTCGTGTTTGATATGTTACATCAAGTATTAACCTACCCCGTCCTTCGTTAGTGATCGTCAAAAGTACTTTTTTGCCATCTGGTGAAAACTTTACAACTCGACTATTGCAGTACCTAGATAAAGGGAAAAAGGGAAATCATAATGGATTAATACCAGCATCAAATCATAATGTATTAAATTCAAAGGTCATCTTGTAAGTTGAATCATTATGGCTCAAAAGGAAATGTAAGCATAATTCACTTCAAAGTCAAGAAAAGACTTGAAGTCGAAATGTTTAAGACTACTACTTCAGTTATTAATGATCTTCTGCATCCTCCATATTCTTACATTTTTTTTCATTTAAATATTTCATTAAAATTTACTTGAAATTATTCATGTGAACCTGCTTAAGGACGTACGCGCGAAAATTTTCCAGTCGATAGATTTTTTTTAAATTTTTACTGCAGTCAGATAATGAGTTACTTGCGTCAGAAATACAAAAAAAATAGCATGGTCTACAGGTGTTCATCGTTAAAAATATCGAAGGTGAGTCAACGGAGGCAAACGATCCTAGTCATATTTTGTAGAAGTTTTTGTGGGTCTGTTGCCTAAATGAGCCCAAATGTTACCAACGTTTTCACAAAACTTAACCCTTCAAGAGGCATTTGAAACCGTCGCACAGATAAACGAAGAGCTAAAAAGAACGGAATTCGATG